GTGCACTCAGCTAACGGTAAACACGCTGTACGGCCGAGTGTATTCCCCGGGAGGCATTCTTACAGGAGACCTCCTTCATAGCATTCGGTGTCTGACGCATTATTCGGAATTCCAGGGTTACAAGATATCGTACTAGCAGCACAGGTAATAGCCAGTATAGTAAAATGCTAGTATCGCATCTTGTAACCCTAAAATATACTATTAGCTGCCTTCCGACAGTTAGTGAGTATTTCGCGGTTTTCCCACTGTGAGTGATAAACTTAGGTCCAAATATTCATGCATCAAATTTCGATTTGCATCTACAGGCCTTAGTGTTAACCGATCTATTCCAAGTTTGCAGTTTATTTCTGAGAAAATTAAGAGATAAAAATCATTTGAAATACCGGAAAGTAGACAGAATAAAAGCTTGACTGTCAAACGTACGTCACTTTTCTAAAAGATTCAGGTCCACGGAGAATTATCAAATCCCTTTTAGACGTTCAAAGATAGTACGCAAGCATAGAAACCTCCTTGTGGCTGGCCTTGCACTAAATTCCACCTATTCCCGTGTCCTAAATCCAACCTGAACTATGGTGGTTTTTATTCCCCCTTCATGTCGTTCAAAGACGTCCCTCGAGACTACTAGCAGGACTGGAGGGCTGCCTTAAGGGAATCTATAACCTCAGTTAGCTGGGAATTATGTGTGGCAAGAATTGGGGATCGAAATTCCCCCTCCGCACGGAAGGATCGAAAATGTTATAAAAACGTTTGGGACTGGGCGGGGTTTTATTGTTCTACGAAATAACCTAGGGTTTCGTTACTAATTCCTATTTTTTTTCTCCATCCGTTACAGCGGTCAATCGGAGAAATTAATCTGAACAGTCAAAAACATTTGGCTGTGAGAAGCGAAGGTTACGGACACGACACCTCCACTTGTCACCACTCATGACATGTGGAATGAATGAGGCCCACCCACTCTAAAAAGAAGGCCAATCAAGAATAAAAGAAGATCGAAACAGCTGCCGTTGTCACTGATGATGGATTCAAGTGAGAATTCGAAACGTCAGGCGAATAAAGCCCTTGTTACAGCGATCGCTTTTTATTCTGGTCAACTACTTCCTGGAACTCGCATCTTCGCCTGTATCAGCAAAACTGCAACTTCCTGTGCACGAATCACCCGTCTCTGTCATTGCCTCTGATGATGGGTTCAAGTGAGAATCCGAAGCGTAATGCGAATAAGGCCCTTGTTCCACTGATCGCTTCCATTTCTTATCAGAGGTAAAAGTGGTGTCGGGGAGGGAAATTTCGTTCCTTGCGGCCACAAAAGTCCCATCTGTCCACGTTCAATCAGACATTAGTCCACACAGAAATGGACATGCACTGGTTTGCTTGTCTTTAAGAAGCGAAGTAATTTGGTTTCGTGGGAGAGGCCGTAGACAGACCGCCGGTGCTCAGCTCAAGTGACCAATCAATCGGCTTCTTTGACATAAGAAGCAAATACTTCTTTGCTAAAGCCACGACTGCCGGGACTAAGAAAAACAGCCCGAATGAACTGGCTGACAGACAGCTGTTTTTGTGCTCCGAGCTCTAAGCCATGGAAGCACTCGCTATCTATAAAGATCGGTTAAATTCCAGGTCACATGCAGATTTTGGTAACCGCTTTGATAAGCTTGTAGTTTCTTAAGCACTCGATAATCGGCGAAATACTTGAATTTATCAGAATTATTTCTAGGGCGGGCCTGACGTTTATGGCGTCTATATTCTAGCCCAAGAAACAGAAAGATATTTTTCATGTTTCATGCAAAGGAAGACCGAAACAGCTGCTGTCTCGGTCTTTCCGCGTTTTAATTAGTCTACCCGCACTCTCCCGGTATGTGTCGTTTGCTTGGGCGCGTCATTTCTTGTCAGGAGGTCGCCGGTTTTTACTTCTTATCAACTAACCAGTGTCTCCTAGATGACCAGAAGCAGATGACCTTCGGTTCGATGATGATGATGATGATGAGGAGGAGGAGGATGATGATGATGATGAGGATGATGATGATGAGGATGATGATGATGATGATGGTGGTGGTGGTGATGATGATGATGATGATGATGATGATGATGATGATGATGATGATGATGATGATGATGATGATGATGATGATGATGATGATGATGATGATGATGATGATGATGATGATGATGATGATGATGATGATGATGATGATGATGATGATGATGACCTATCAGCTTAATCTCGTCTGCGTGAGGAGGTAATTATGTCTTTCTATAAGACAGACGTTGAAAAGGTAGTAGGAAGAAGTAGCAGTTCTCCCCAGACTCCGCTAACATTTTTTAATATACTCCTTTCAGTATTTGCTGTATCACGTGGTGGTCCGATAGTTTCTACCTTGTACTTCTTCACTGCCATCAGATTCGATGCTGTTTTGACCGAGAGACGCCAGAACTATCGGTTTGCGCCTACAGCAACTGATATGGCGAGGCATGACAATAAGAAACTTTATTAAAACCGAATTATACCCTTTCTTCAAATATAAAATTGGAAAAAGACGTTATTTTCTACCGAATGAGCAAGAGAATTAATATTTTTATGCATGCTTTCCATGAAATGTAATTAACTTTCTAGAGGCATCGAAAATCAATGGGAAAATGCATGCTGCATAAATAGTCACTTTTTACAGGGTATCGTTTTTGCATGCATTCGGGAAGAAGTTCGTTCTAACGTCGGCATCTTGAGATAACTGAACTACTATGGAATCCCGCTGTACAATTATTAGTTTTACAACCCTACTTAATTAATCTTTTCGAAACGAAAACGCATTTCGGAATTTCAGTTGACATTTCATGAGTTAGTCCACCTTCTGTAGCTCCCTTTTACTTAGTCTGACGAAATCTACGCACCCTTAACTAAGTTCTGAAACGCATCTCGTTTGTGAACATGGCCAGATTTTCGAAAAGAGGATCTCAGTGAGCGCAATAAGTAATACAGAATGAACTGGTAAATTTTCGCAGCGCGTTGTGTCGAAAACTCCCACAGAACAGCTGATATGTAAGGTAAGAGAAGGCAGTCTCGCTCATCATCAAAACTCCCTCAGGCAACCATGTCTTCCTTTTTCTGAAGACCGATGTGGGCGTTAATTACTTAAACAAAAGCAGTTACTAGTCAATCGGACATATTGCGGTAACTGTTATTGAGAATGCATGCAATCTAACATATACAAGCACACACACACACACCCTCAGAGATTACTTCAAGATAAACTGACATCTAAATGTGCACTCCAGCGTGTGTAGTTTGTTTTGGTGCCGTTGCCATGGTAATAACCTCTCAGTCAGGCGAAGTCCGAAGAGGTAGAAGAGGATGATCAGTTACCAAGACAACGTTCGTACTCGAATTCTTCCTGTCCATCACATTAGCATGAAATACGCGAGGATGGGCTTGTTTGGCCATAAGTGGAAAAGACTCACTCTCTGGCCAAGTTGGGGAAAAGAGGAAGATGCAAACAACAAGCTCAATGATGAAAATACCTGCTATTTGAGTAGTACCAACACAGTAACACGCATTCTCCCTTTTTCGCATTGCATGTGTAAGAGCCAAGTGGCTTTTCCCAAACTGACTGTGGATGAAGTTCTTTCAGTAATTTTGTGGGGGGAAGGACTTAATTTTTTTCGTTTTGACATGTTCGGTAATGCATATATTTGCGGAAAAACGCAAGTACTTTGGCAGGTTCTTGAAGTATCCGAATAGCCGGTAGATAGTTTGAAATCAATTCAATTTAACCATTAAGTAGTTAGGAGGATTGGCCCCGACATTCAGAAACAGGCTTATGAAACTTGTGGATATTAGTCCGCAAAACATTGGCCCAAGTAGCAAATTCAGCCGGACCGAAATTGATGTCTTCTTTTGAAAGTTTTATGTCGGGAGGTAGTTTCCATCTGTAAAATGAGCTTCTTTTCAGTTTACAAGAATTTTTCGCCTGTTGGTCTGCCGAATTCACTAAATGGTGGAACCTACTCCGACGAAAGCATAATAAAGGATTGTGGCCAGTGTTTCGTTTAGTTCAGTGCAAGCATTTCACATCAAGACCTACTCGGTGTTCTAACGGTGGCTACCAGTTCGGCGGATATGGATTATATTACTATGGTAGGGAGCGCTTACAGATCGTTCTTACAGAACTCACTCGTTCCGTTGTGCCTTACGGGCTCTCTCTCGAGCCCAACCAGCAGCCGCACAGCGGCGCGAGGTATAGGCAGAATAGCACCGGGTCGAGTGATTTCCGTTAGAACGATCGGTGAGCGCCCCCTACCATTGTATATTCTCGATCGAAACCGACAGGGCAACGGGCTCGTTGCCCAGTGGTTAGAGACATGGAATTCTGACTAACAGGTCGCGAGTTCGATCCTCGGGCGTTCCACACTTCGGGGTTGGGTATGACTGGCCGGCGACGGCTAATAAGCCAGAAACGGCCATTCCAGTCTCCCTTGTCTTCGTTGGGAATGCTATTCTGATTATACTACTGTCGGCCTCTCTCTTGCAGCGAACAGCCAGCAGTCACAAGGAAATGTTAACGTACCGTCTGCTCAGCACCCTTTTTAGATAAGGCCGACGGAAATGGATATTTGCTTAAAGTCATACGGAATGATAGTATTTAGGATGGTCCTCAATAAGGCACTCGACAGTTATGAGGGAAGATATACAATTAAATACAGTTGGGTATTTAAAGGAAGTTCTCAAAAGGGAGACAGCTTTAGCATGCATATGTGTCCATGAAATATCAGCGGCAGTCAATCTAAACGGCACAACGGCATCCAAAGGGCGCGTTTGAGGAGTCAACCGTTTTGCACATTTGCTGCACGTCTGACGACAGACAGCGTCGACATTATTCGGGAAAAAGTTTGTTGGCTTCGCAAATAACTTCATGGGCTGTCTGTCTTCCAGTGTAGTTTATCACGTGTGGGTAAACACAACAGACTTTTCCGCATAATGATGATCTGTGCCTGGAGGATTCTAGACCGTTCTAAGGTAGTGGTCCGAAGGTGACCTGCTTTTTCAACAGGTCCTGCACCATGGCCTGATCAAAGACCCTCGTCGTCATCGCTGCTTGGTCAGCCCCTAGGACTGCACTGCTGCTGCTGCCGCTCCCCGCAGAGTTTGGGAGCGCTGGAGGAATACTGAGGGAGCGCTGACTCTCCTCTAGGGCCAGAATTCGCCTCTGGACGGCAGTACGGTCCGCGGCCTGCGGAAAGGCCACCTTGTCGAAGTAGTGCAGCATAATGTCTCGATCGGATGGACAACTGATATGGAAGGCTGGCACAGCGTAGATGTGCGACATGTAGGCCCACAAACAGCGCAGATCGGGCGGAATACAGAAGTTGCCGTAAAAATGGCCGGCCACACGGACCTGCTGCACCTTGGTGGCGATGACGCAGTCCGCGTAGGCGACGCTGTCAGACTCCAGGTAGGTGGTGTGCGTCTAAATGACAGTTGAAAAGATGTTTCATCGCAAAAAACTGCTTAACTTTGTTTTAAAATCCCACTTGGCTCATAACACTGGCTAGTGGCAATGATAGGGGTGAAGAAACAGCATGTACAGTAGGTGGGCTAACTCATGAAATGTTGACAGAAATGACGAAATGCGTTTTCATCTGGAACTGCTTAATTAAGAAGCGTTGTAAAACTTATCATCGGGCAGCATAATCCCATAATAATTCAGTAACCATAGAATGCCGGCGTTCGAGCGAAAATCTTTTCGGACGCATGCAGAAACTGCACACTGTAAAAAATAACTGCTTAGGTAGCATGCATTTTTCTCCATAATTTTCGATGTTCTTAAAAATGCAATTGCATTTTATCCAGAAAATGCAAAAGATATTCATTCTTTTGCTCATTCAGTAGAAATTTATGTCTTCTTCCAATGTTATACTCGAAGGAAGAGTATAATTCGGTTGTTAAAAAGTCTCTAATTTTAAGATGTTTTAATACCGTGAGATGGTCGTTCATAAAACGTCATGTCTCTTCATTTACCATTGTGGCTTGTATAGGGAATAATGTGGCCCAAATCCACTGCTAAATTTTATGAACCCCATATGATTTCCTCCTTATACTGTAGAGACGTCTATGGTTTTGCTTACGTGGAAAACGTACGGCTTGTAGTTTGTAAACTTTGAATGCAAGTGTAACGGCAGTTTGGGTTCTAAATTATTGGGAAATTAAAAGAGTTTTTGAAAACCGAAGTATACCCTTCCTTTGAGTATAAAATTGAAAGAAGGTGTAATTTCCTGCCGAATATGCAAAAGAATGAATATTTTTATGCATTTTCTCCATAAAATATAGTTCAGTTTTTAAGGGCATCGAAAATCAATGAGAAAAGTACATACTAATTAAGTAGTCATTTATACAGAGTGTAGTTTTTTCATGCAGCCGAAAAGTAGTTCGCTCCAGAGCCGGCATCCTGAGGTAACTGAATTATTATGGAATTATGCCGCACGATGATTAGTTTTACAATCCTTCTTAGTTAATCTTTTCGAAATGAAAACTCATTTCGGAATTTCGGTTGACATTCCATGAGTTAGCCCACCTACTGTATAGTCAGTCGATAATTCGGTCGTCGCAAACTACGATGTCTGTCATGTGCCCCAAAACGTGATAGATGCAGGGCGGTGATTTGCGCGTGACAGCATGTCGCGAAAACTCCTTCCTCGCCTGCTGGGCTTGTTGACAGTCGATACGACTGGGCTCGGGCTCAGTGGACGATACGGAACAAACGGTCGACTACGTTTGCCACACGCCCGATCCGCGCACAATGGACCGCGTTTTCACAGCACCAAGAAGGAGGCGGCTCAGATCCCATCTGAGTCAGTACGCCATAGAGTTCACATTAAAAAGTATTCATTGAAGTGATTCATTGAGTGACCGATCCCATGAAATGTTGGCTAAAATTCTGAACTGCGTTTTCGATTAGGAAGGATTACTTGGTCGCGGTTGCAATACTGATTATCCGAATTACAGTTTCGAAATATTTACATATATACAGTGAGTGACCGATCCAATGAAAAGTTAGCCAAAATTCTGAAGCGCATTTTCGGTCTGGAAGGATAACTTAGGTGGGGTTGTAAGATTGATTATCTTGCGACATTATCCTATAATCTTTTGGGCTCGGCAGCATGTCAGCTTTTGAATACACTGCTTTTCAATCTCATGTAGAAACCGTACTCAGTAAAAAATGACTAGTTAATTAGCATGCATTTTTCGCACCGATTTTTAATGGACTTTCAAGTCCAAATATATCTTATAGAAACCATAAACAAAGTTATGCTTTCTTTCAGCCAATTAATAGAGAATCACGTATTCTTTATATTTTATACCCGACGAAGGAGTATAATTGGGTTTTAAAAAAGTTTCTGATTATGAGATTGTTTAAGACCGCGCAATGTCCATTCAAATAGCATCGTACCTGGCCGTTTACCACAGATCCCCATAAAATGTTCAACATAGTCCTCATCCATTGCAAAATTTTATGGACTCTCTATAATATTTTTTATAAGGCATAGAAAAATATGTGGTTTTCTTTACGCGGAGCGCATGCACCTTGTAGACTGAAGTCACTAAGCGCTAATGCAACGAATGATCAACCTCCCAATTATTCGGCAATTAGAAAACTTTTTTAAAACCTAACTATACTCCTTCTTTGAGTATAAAATATAAAGGAGACGTGATCCTCTATTACCTGACTGAAAGAAAGCATATCTTTGTTTATGGTTTCTATAAGATATATTTGAACTTGCAAGACCATCGAAAATCAATGGTAAAAATGCATGCTAATTAAGTAGTCATTCTTACCGAGTACGGTATCTACAGGAAATGGAAAAACAATGCATTCAAAAGCTGACATCTTGCCGAGTTCGAAATATTATAGAATTATGCAGCAGGATAATCAGTATTAGAACCCTACTTAGGCATTCCTTCCTGATCGAATTTCAGCCAACATTTCATGAGATCGGTCACTCACTGTACTAAGGACATATTACAGCGAGAACGGTCCCGAAAGGGCATTAGACGCCTGTACCAGTGACCCCTCAGGCGTTGTTGACAGACAAACATGATAACTTTTGAAGACTAGCTTATGTTGAGGATACATGCAAAAAGAAGGTTATAAAGCTAAACCAGCGGCCATGATGCGGCAAAAAGATGGCGTACTTTCCCCAGTGGACCGGTTCATGGACTCAGTGCACCAGACTCGATCAGGTGCAGTCAAATCTTGACTCACAGAAACTGACCGTATTAAACCGTGATAATAATTCTCCTGTTGTTACCATCGTAAGGTGTACTTGGACCGCTGACTCTCTCAAGCTCGGAATCATGAAGACGAGGCCGAAAGCAGAGCCCGCATTTTCAACAGACAACGAGTGCTCTGCAGACCACAAGTTGAGTCATTTGATCTGCAAAAAGGTTATGCGCGCCTCCGGGTCATGCAGTTCGGTTAGCCACTGGAACTAGCAATACAGCAACACTCTCTGAAGGCCGACCAACGAAGAGGGGGAGAATTGTGCGACATCGGGCCTCAGCACAAATCGATAGTCTGCTCTGCGTTGATTGGCCCAAATGCGTGCTTTAACGCTTTGTGCTGCTCGGATAATTGGCGCGACGCTGAAGTGGACCAAAGCATTCCGGTGGGGGTCGTCCGGATGCACCGGTCGCAAACAAGGCATTTCCTGGTCCTCCAGGGCTCCCAGTGGGTTTGTTCTGTTCACCTCTGGTCGTTTTAACTCTGCCTTTCCATAAGCGGGTGAGGGAAAGGATATCGAGTATTCGGATTCACGAGCAAGTCACCCACGCTGCGCCCATCCCTTGGAAAACGCGGTATATTTTGATCCGTCGACTGAACCTCCATGTAATTCTTATAGGGCAACGGTATAGAGAAGGACACCACTTAACTGTCAGTAGACTGTGGATCGTGCCATGCGTGATTTATTACAAAGGGAGCTTTATGGGTGGGGCAACACGCTAGATAGTAAGCTGACAAAATGGAATAAAACACAGAAATTGCCTGGATTTATGTCAAAAGTCTCATCCTACGCTATTGCACGACAACGGAAATGAGAATGGTAATAAAACAACAAACAAAAACTACATTTTAAAAAATAGCGGATTTTGAGCTGAGATGTGGGGTCATGGCAAGTAATCGTTGTTAACAGTGTAATTTCTGCAACGGCCTGCAAGTGTGTGCCAAGATAGAACCCCATTTGACACGATCCACTGTCTACTGAAAGTTAAGTGGGGTCCTTCTCTACACCGCTGCCCCCTATAGGTGTTTGCTTATATTTCTACTTCTCCTGACTCGCCAATTTGAGTAGGATGGGTCGGAGTAATTTTTGCAAAAACCTACCGCACCTTAATAGCAGCACGGATAAATTGATTTCGAATAACCCAATTAGCACGTTTAATCACATTATTATACCTACAGAGCAGCAAAATGCCGTCCTCGTTTGAAGGTCAAAGTTTCTGGCGACCAGAAATTGGACGACGAGACCAAACTGCGTCAGCTCCACGACTGTTCTTGCATTTAAGATGAAAAAGCTCCCTAACTGGACAGTCTTCCCATGCGCAGCAAATGTATGACGCACTTGTCTGCAAAACTGATCAGTGCAACCAGATAGGGAGAGGACAGTGGACAATTTTATTAAAAAAATGGCTGGACATTTCGTAATGTAAGAGTGCGCCTTTAGTCGGCAATGCGTAGAAGACTACGTCCGTACTGAACACAGCCGAGTTAGACATTTATTCCATTACCTGTCATGTAGTATGCTTTATCTTGACAAAGAAGCATTTAATTCAGCCCCAAAGACTGAGGGTTGCTACGTACAATATAAGGCTGGGACTTCCAAGCAATCTACCGCAAACTCACTCAAACAAGATCAAATCTCGTGTGATGAAAATTTCCCATTACTTTATAATTTCCGACGTTACTTAAAAAATAACCAGATTGTTATAAAGTTTTATAAATGGAAGATGTAGTGACTTGGATAGAAGTAGAATTCCGCAGTTTTAACCGGAGCCTTTTACGTAGATACATCTCTCCAAATAATGCTTAAATAATTGGTATTTTTCATGTTTTTTTAAGATAACTGGCTTACAATTAACATTGAGAACCTGAAAAAAGCTGTTTCGAAGAAAAACGAGATCTACTTGTGAAAAAATCATTTTTTTACGTTTTCCAGTCTGTTCTTCTGTAAACCTAAAAAAAACCTATTCTCCAGAGCTAGTCTCGTGCTTGTAGCAAATGTTTTTGGGATTATGTCAGTATTGTATGGTGGATAACCAGAACTATAAGCCAACTTAGGTGATCATTTCAAACCGAAAAAAACATTTCATAATTTCGGTTAGTATTTCAGGAGTTAGCACACCTACTGCAGGGTGTGGTCTAAAGCCCTGTCATACTCTTGGACGCCACGATCGGAAATGTTACGCAGGAATGACGAAACAACGAGTCGATGGTTTACGTTCGTTTAGTCACCTGAACGAGGCATGTGTACGTTAGACGGTCCACAACGGCGCAATTGTTCAGTTTAGCAAGCTGTGTCTGTCATTAGTGTTCAGAATTCGATTACTTGATCCATCCTGTACTACGTACAGATGTTTTAATGCTTTGAATAACCTCTAGAAATACAACGTAACAACGGAAGTATATGTAGGATCTTTTCGTGGTAAACGTAAAAAAGGCAGGATTGTCAGGGTAGGCCAACAGCATTAGTACAAAACTCCTCTCCTAGATGACCAAAAAACACGAAAGGTTTTTTCAAAAAATCTAAGGCTTTAGTACATTTTGATGCCTTTACGGACAAGTACTCTAGGAGCAGTCAGTGCGGTTTTATGTGCCACAAAATCAGGAGGTGGACCTCATGGCGATCTAAAAACCATAGTTCAGGATTCCCTAGCGGCAGCACCGCACATTCGATTCCCTTAACTGTCCAATTATATTTCATAGAAAACATGCATAAAAATATTCATTTTTCTTCATATTTCGTAGATAATAACGGCTTTTTCCAATTTAATGATCAGAGAAAGGGTATAACTCGGTTTCAGGAAACTTTTCCAATTCCCGAATAATTTTGAACCCGCTCTGCCGTTACACTTGGATTCAGGGTTTCCAAACCACAAGCCGTATATTTTCCGCGTACGGAAGACCACGCATTTCTCTACGGTAGTAATGGGGGACTGTACAAGGTTCATAAAATTTAGCAGTGGATTTGATCATATCGTTAACTTGACAAGCCACATTGGTAAATTCAGAGGCATGACGATTTATGAACGGCCATTTCGCGGTATTTAAAAGTCCCCACAATTAGAAACTTTTTTAGAACAGAATTGTGTCCCTCCTTCGATTACATTTTTAGAAGAAGACATAATTTTCAACCGAATGAACAAAAGAATGAATATTTTTATGCATGTTTTCCACGAAATATAATTGGACGTTTAGGGGCTTCGAAAATCAATGAGAAAAAGTCATGCTGCTTAAGTAGTCCTTTTTTACAGAGTGTCGTTATCGCATGCGGCCGGAAGGAGGTGCATTCGAAAGCCGGCTTCCTGACGTAACTGAAATATTATAGAATTATGTTTCAGGCTGACCAGTTTTACAACCCTATTTAATTAATCTTTTCGAAACGGAAACGCATTTTGGAATTTCGGCTGATATTTCATTAGTTAGACCACCTACTCTATGTTCGGTTCCCTTAATTTGCTCGTACTTTGTGCTGACCGTTTTCCTTTGCACTGCCAGTCTATTTTCTCCCAAAAAGTATCTTCCACTTACTTTCGAAATAAACTTGTCCAACTCCTGGAGGTCTGATAGGAGTGCGCGAGTCTGCCCCGTCAGAAGAAGGCTATTCAGATTTCGAAGAAGATTGCAGCTAACCCACTGAACCTCAGTGTCGACGTTGATGTGCCCGCTGAATTTCTGGCGCATCAGATCCTCCAACTCATCGTTGCCCGCGTAGACGGCGGACGGTCCCGTCGTCTTCTTGCCTTCATTGTGTTCATCGTAGATGGCCACGGCGGGGAGACGCCTGCCGGAAAATAACTCAGAGTACTCCCTCTGCGGATTGGCCGTGCAGACGGGAATAATGCGCAGATTGACAGCATGTCGTTCCACCAGGAGGTAGAAGACCATGAACCACTTGTGTGACAGCGGACAGGAGCCCCTGTCGCCGACATCAGCAGAGGAGGCCTTTAGGAAGAGCTCCACGAGTGGAGTCATGCGGACTTCACAGCACCGCCCGCAAACATGTCTCCGTCGACGCACAATCTAGCAAGTCAAGGCCGCCGATTCGTGCGTCAAGGACACACGATAAGAATTTCGACCAATGGCCAGTGGCCTGTGGTTTAAGCCGAAACAAGCGCGTGATTTTGTGGTGTTGGCCGGCCGGACGTAATAAGCCATGTTGTATTTCAGTGATTTCATGATTACAGTGGGTGACAGCTCACGAAATGCGCGCCAATGTGCGAATAATACCCAGTCAATCGCAAACGGCATAATTCCTCGACCGAAACTCGCAGTAACAATGAACGACCTTCCATCAAAGTAAAGCAAAAATTAGTATCGAGCGTAATATTACGGTGATTAGAAATAGCAGTTTTCTTGAGAAAACCGGAAATGCTGTGAAACAGGAAACTTCATATCAAATAAGCGAATTCGATTTGTAAAATCATACAAAGCCTGTCCGTGAGAATGACTGAGTAAGTCAAATGGCAGAAGCGTGGCAACATTTCAAGTAGTCGTTCATATATTTTGTGTTTAAAATACTCTAAAGGAATTAGTGTAACGTAAAATCTGACAAATAGTCAAGCGCGGAACCTTTGGCTGTGTGTTTCAAAATGTTTCCACGAGAGTTTGACGCAATTTTTCTGACCTTACATTGCTCAAAACGCGATTGACTAAAGCAAAGGGGAGTTTGTTTCGCTTCGCTTACAAGAACATAACAGAAACAAAAGCCAATAAAAGCGTGTAGGCGAGTTTCAGGAAGCAGTTCAGAACTTTTCTGCGACCGTCTCTGGTGATAGCTTCGCGAGAGAATCCGAAACGTCAAGCCAATAAACTTCTCGTTCTAGTGATTGCATTCTCTTTCTTTGGAACAAAAGTCTTCATTAGGCCAAATGAGGGGAGGGCGGTCAGTTTATTTAGTCAGTGACTATGAAAATGGAATGGAACTAACGGACGCAATCGTAAGCATACCACTTTGTGTGCATGAAGAGAACATTCCTCTCGTAAATTTGTCGTCAAATTATTGACGACGATGGACTCTGTTGGCCTTCGGGGTGTCCTTTCGATATCCGTCAATTTTTGCGGTATTCAGTCCTCTCAGCCGACTGTCTCAGAAGATGCGACAACTGCGTGGGGAACCGAGATGTCACCAACTTCTGACCTTTTCACGCCTTTGAGCAAGCCAGCTCCCGGGTCGCACCCACAGCTGCAAACACTCAGCTTCGCGCTGCCCAAATGGTGCACGAAGCACAACTAACCGATGAGCCACCAACACTAAAGAACCGAACTTATTTGCCTCTTTCGGTAATAACATACTGCTTATATCATGCACCGCTGTGCGGTTGCTGGTTGGGCTCGAGAGAGAGAACCCGTGAGGCACAACGGAACGAGTGAATTGCGTAAGAACGATCGGAGAGCGCCCCCTACCATTGTTCATTCCCAATCGAAAACCGACAGCGAAACGGGCTCGTGGCTCGGTGATTAGAGGCGTGGACTTCTTACTAACAGGTCGCGAGTTCGAGCTTCAGGTTTTCCACACTTCGGGGTTGGGTATGACGGGCTGACGACGACTAATAAGCCAGAAATGGCCATTCCAGTCTCTCTTGTCTTAATCGGTAATGCTATTCTGGTTATACTACTGCCTGACTTCTATCTTGATTCTCGCAACTGCGACCTCTCTCTTTCAGCGAACGGCCAGCAGTCACAAGAAAAGATTAAAGTTTCATCTGTTGAGCGCCTGTTTCAGATAAAGCCGACGAAGATAGATATTTGCTTCAAGTCATACGGAATGGTGGTATTTAGGAGAGTCCTCGGTAAGGCACTCGACAGTTATGAGGGAAGATATACAAATGAATACAGTTGGGTATTTAAAAGAAGTCCTTAAAAGGGAGACTTATTTAGCATGCATATGTGTCCATGAAATATCAGCGGCAGTCAATCTAAACGGCCTAAAAGCATCCAAAGTGCGCCTTTGAGAAGTCAACCGTTTTACACATTTCCTAAACGCCTGACGACTGACAGAGTCAACAGTATTCGTGAAAAAAAGTTTGTTAGCTTCGCAAAGAACTTCATGGGCTGCCTGTCTTCCACCGTAGTATATCACGTATGGATAAATACAACCGACCTTCATCAGCATCATGGCAGCTGCCCCTCCCTGAGTAGGCCGTTTCTTCTAACGGTTCTTCTAAACGCCTGAGTAGCTTGGTTGGAGCATACCAGACCACATAGCATAGCAGATCTCACTTGTACTCTCCTGAAGTGGATAAAGCACTTATATGGACACCTGTGTAATGCGGATCCCTCAAATATAGCTTCCACTGTTGATGGGCGACAGCTGTAGGCAGGCACTGACCTCCTTGAATGGCAATTTTCTGCGTGGGTTCGGATTTTTATTGGCCCAACTGACGAAAGTCCAGATCTCCCTGTCTAACTGTGGCCATTGAAGTTAATAGCCTATCTTTTTGCAATTTCAGCAGGTAGACTAACTCGCTTTGCATATACATACAAATATGTAGTATGTTATTGCCGACAAAGACAAGGGAAACCGGAATGACCACTTTTGGCTTATTAGCCGTTGTCAGCCAGTCATACCCAACCCAGAAGTATAAGAAGGAGTACAGATAAATACAAGAGAAAGTGAAATGGCTGTTTCTGGTCGTCAGCCAGCCACACCCGACGCCAGGTTTGTGCAACTTGGGATTTAAATTCGAATTTCCTGGTAATTGCGTTTTAAGTCAAGCTCTCCATTACCGGGCCTCCTTACTGCCTGCAAAGGCTCTAGATTCAACCCCCAGGTGAAGTAGGTGAGTACGTTTCATAGTCCGGTCGGCGAGCGCCATTTCCGTCTGCTGAAACTTTGTCCGAAGAAGTTAATATAGTTTTTTTTGAAATGGAGGCATTCGTATGGTGAGGACACTTTTGTACATTAAGTAGCTGTTTAAAGGGAGTATTGTTTCGCCAGTATTTATTGGAACCGTAAGGTATTACACCTTAAGGTTTGTGAGCGTCTGCTATGCCATTATTCAGCAAACCGTGGATCTCGCAGTCTCGTATGCGTTGGCGGTTCTCTGGCACCAGGCTCCCTGCCGGTAGAGGCGTCCACGCTCCCGCTGGTGGTAGGCATGGCTGCCCAGTCATCATCCTCGTCCTTCCAACACCGGTTGGGGTGTTGTTGTTCCTGCTGTTGTTGGTGAAAAATCCTGGTCAGGTGTATGTTGTGGACCAGCGGGTGTGGCGGCACGCCTAGGGGCAGCTCCGGCCGTGCCAGCCACCTGCGCCCTCCCTCGCCCCCCGGCTTTCCTGACTCTTTCTTGACACCGAGTCCAGGTGGGAAGTGGGGCAGACAGAGTGCGGTAGATGCTGCGCAAGTCTGCCATCACAGAAAACTACTTCACACGCAAGTCACCGTGTCTGATGCATCTTGCTGTGGAGCACACGGTGGACACCGTCGAACGAACGGTTGAGCTGTCGTATGTTAAGTTTTTGCTTTATCGGTGTCCAGGTACAGTGCCTGAGATTAATTATAATTTTATAGTACAAGACAAACTCTCGGTAGGAAACTGGAATAGGTTGGAGTTAGGGCTAGAGCTAGGATTGGGGTTAGGGTCATAGGTAGGGTTAGGTTCAGGACACGTGAGTAGTTGCCGCCGGAGATTTGGCGTTAGGGCATCTGTAGTAGGGGGTTACATCTTCCTAAGTCCAAACAAAATTTATCCTGGTAATTTGTGCTTGAATATTATCGCCTTCTTTCTGAATCGTTGCTGTGCTGCTGTTGTTGTTGTTCAAAATTCTGGTCAGGTGTTTGTTGCAGACCAGTGGCTGTGGTGGCACGCCTATGTGCAGGTCTTGGCACGAGGCCCAGGCTTGGGAGAAGAGTGCGATAGATGCAGCGCAAGTCCACTACAGACTAATTCACGCGCAAGTCACCGTCCCTGATCTCATCCTGTTGTGGAGCGCACGATAGACATGACGGTCGAACTGCCAAAATATTACAAACCGCGTTTCTTTGGTGGACTGACTTCATGTATCTACCTCGAGGAGAAAATATTGGTTGATAGGAGGACTGCGAAAAACGTTTAAATGGCCTGCCTAGCCTCCATTTCGTTTGAGCCTCGAAAAGCCGAATTGGTAGTCTTTTATGTCATGAAACGAAGTGTTACGATCGGTTGACAAAGGCGTGATCCTAAGCTTAGGAAAAAGCTAAAGACATTTTTCGACATAGTTACTAATAAGCAAAGGGCTAAACGCATGTTGCTGGAGAATTGATCATCAGGAAGGATAATTCCAAGTCCATTTCTGTATGGCAACATGATGGGTTTTGATACAGGCTAGTGCCATCTGAAAAATAACTTCTTTATATTGTGTATTTTTGAATTTCAATATTTGTGCATCTTCAGTCATATTGCCTAAAAGCATGCATTGTACTCTCATTCATAATACTGGTTTTTATGGGAAACTAGGCTTATTTATAGCTGAGGTCTGAGGGCGTGGCTGCTTTTGCGTTTGAGGCCATAAATAAAAAAGCAACTACAGTACGTGTGCTAAATCGTGAAAGGTTAACAAAAATTTGGAAATGCGTTTTTTCCTGAAAAAGATTACCTAAGTAGGGTACAGCATAATCCCATAATAATTCAGCTGCTTCGGGATACCGGCTTTCGAAGAGACTTCCTTCCGGCCGCCTGCGAAAACTACACTTCGTAAAAATGACTACTTATGTATGTAGTATGGATTTTTCTCATTTATTTTCGATGCCCTTGTAAACTCGAATATATTTCATAGAAAGCATGCATAAAGGTATTCGTTATTTTGCCCATTTGATAGAAAATTGCGTCTTCTTCAAAAATTGTATTTGAAGGAAAGGTATAATCCAGTTTTAAAAAAGGCTCTAATTATGAAATTTTTTAAGACCGTGGAATGCCCATTCATAAAACATCGTGCCTCTGCATTTGCTAATGTTGCTTTTAAAGTCTACAATACGGCACAAATCCACCGATAGA